TTTAAGCTCAGATTTGGTTAATTATCCCAACAAAACGTCCCACGACAGATTAGTTTAGTCGAATATCTGCCAAGTCTTTATGGTTTTACTGTGTCAGGCGCTGATAAATGGGATAAATTTGGCATTTTTTTTAGAAAAAAAGTTGACTTTGAAGCCCATCAGTGGGTTTTGGGGTTCAGAGTGTTCAAGTTAGAAGCCTCTATAGATTTGTTTATAATCAATTATGTTATAAATAATCAAACATTATAAATACGACAAACTAAAACAAGATCCAACATCAATGGAAGAGATTTTTAATTAGAATTAAAGCTTTTCATAACAAAATGATGGAGTTTAAGGCAGAAAACTAAAAAGACGACTAATGACGTTTCTGTTAAATTGCTAATTATTCACAAATAATCGAATTATAAGGGAAAAAAAACAGGTGTCACATTAATGTTGTGCACTTTTTATGCTCTTTGTGACTTTCATGCTTTTATATTTACTTCTTTTATTTAGTTTTTTGTATTTCCGACATTAAAAGAAAGTCCTAAAAGTCTCTAAAATAAAATATTTTGTTATTTGGAGCTGCTGCTGAGGATCATCGTCACCGTTAATCATTTTCTCGTTAAATCGATGAGCTGCTCGGTCTGTGAAACGTCAGAAAATGGTGAAAAAATGTGAGTTTCTTTTGTCCACGACCCAAAGTTTACTGTCAGAGGAGAAGAAGAAAGCAGAAAAAGTTCACTTTGACGAGGCCAGAATCAGAAAAACTACATAAACTGATTAATTAATTATAAGAGTAGTTAATTAAATGGTGGATAAATGGAATAACCGCTGCAGCTCTGAGGTTAAGAACACAACAACAGCTCCACAAATCAGCCATAAAACAGGCGACAGTCGAGTGTAAACATGAAGAACAAGCGGCTGGAATGAGCTGCAGACGGGGTTAAATGAGTTCAGCTCAGATGTTTAATCTTCCTGCTTTTATTCCCCGTTCGCCACCTTCAGCTCTCACACGGGTTTATTTTGGGCGTCTCATTAGAGGTCTGCGAGTGACGGACGCCTGCAGCTGCCGACTCGTATCTCCATCGTCTTTCTAACAACGCCGCTGTTTGCCCAGATGATGCGGGAGCGAGATTCCTGCTGAATGTCAGGTCAGCGGGGATCCTCATGAAGGCCTGGGCTCTGATAAAGCCGCCCGGGCCGCATTTAGCCCCACATTTGTTGTGAAACGTAGCCGCCCCGCTTCCGCCCCGGGGTCAGCTCGGACCGCCGGACCCGCCACCTGCTCGGCCGGTTGCGTAACCCCCCCGCTAACAGGTCGGCGCCACATTCAGCAGCAGCACTTTTTCTGTAGTTTGTTTCCTGGAAAGTGAGGAAGAATTCCTGCAATGTGGCGCCGTGGACGGGGGAAGGTGAAGGAGGTGTTCTCCGCCGGTTCATGAGCCTTTTTTTGTTTTTTTTTGTCCCTACAGCTCGGTGCAGAACAGCGAGAGAGGGAAGAAGATCGGAAACGCCATGATGACCACCAGCCGCAGCGTCGTCCAGACCGGGAAGGCCGTGGGTAAGACCGCAAGACCAGGATCAGGCTGTGGCTTGTTTGTTCATTCTGACCCCAAAAACGTGACTCAGATGTGATCTAAAGCACCTTTACCTCTAACTTTACCCAAAAAGAAAACATTCTGCTGTTGAATAGGTTAAGATTTAACCTTCTGAGCATCTTATATTTTAAATTGCATTTATCAGAAGCAGGAGCCACAGTAAGATCTTCAACTTTCTGATGGTTCTTGAGCTTTTTTATCAGGAAACTCAACCAAATCTAAGCTTATAATTGTGATATTTCGTTTAAAAAATCACCCAAACTGCATAAACAAACTATTTGCTCGAAGCAGATTGTATAAAAAGCAATAAACTCTGTTTATTAAACCATTTATCAGAGCCAGAAACTGCAAAAACAGACTGAATCGTCTTATTTGATCTGGTTCTTGGACTATTTATCAGGAATCTTCACCAAATCTAAGCTTAGTTTTATTATATTTCTTACAAATTACTTTATTTTGCAAGCAAAAAATTCTACAAAACATGCAGGTTGTGTTTAAAGAGTTGCCAAAATGACACCATTTATCGAGAAACTTCACCAATTCTAAGCTTAACATTGTGATATTTCATTAAAATCACTGCATGCCTTATTTAAATAATTTACAAAAAAATAAATCATGTTCTCTCACCAGATTCTGTAAAAAACTAAAAATGTGTGTTATATTTAAATAGTTGCCAAATTTACACCACTTATCAGAGCCAGAAGATGCAAACTTTCCCAAATCTAAGCTTAACCTGCATGTCTCATTTAAAACTGAGCCAAAAGTTGTCATAATTACCCCATTTATCAGAGCTGGAAAGAGTCAAAACAGAAACATTAATCAGATTTTTATCTCTCCATGAGTCCTTGAACCAATGAGACATGCTGTTCCATCAGATAACTGGACTAAATCTAAACTTAAATTAACTAGATTTCATCCAAATCACTTCATACCATTAAAAAAATACCAAAAATGAACCAGATTCTGCAAAAAAGCAACTTCAGATTCTTTCTTCTCAGCTCATCAGAGAGGACGTGATTGACGTGGCTGCAACTGACAATCATAAGACACAAAGTAGTTTTGGGCTGAACTGCAGGCTGTGTAACGCACGAGTTTAGGAACTAGATGTTGAAATATCTAGAGCGTGTGGAGTCACCATGTTGTTGTTTTTCTGGTGTTGGTTCCACCTGTAGGACAAATGCTGGAAATATTCTTTTTTTTTGGGCAAAATAAATAAAGAAATGAACCTTAAACTCATTCTACCTGCGTAATACAGCACAGAGTATGTTTTATTCGTCTCTACTCCTACACATGGTTGTGCTGTTTCCATAGAGCTGCAAAAGAGACGTTCATAAAGATAAAAACCTTTGTCTCCGTCTCTCAGGTCAGTCGGTGGGCGGAGCGTTGACCAGCGCCAAGTCGGCCATGTCGTCCTGGTTCTCCACGCTGGCCCAGCCGCCGCCGGTCACCGGCCCGGCCGACCCGGCCGACCCTGAACCCGCCGCCGAGGTCAAACCGTGACGGACGGCGCTCCAGGAACCCCCCAGTGACTCCGTTTCTGTCTCCTCTGACTGTGAGGGCCGGACGAGTGGCCAGAGCTGGTTTTGTGAAGGACGCGAGCAGAAAAAAAAAATCTTTCCTCAAAATCCAATGAAACCCAAACAGCCGGCGCCGGTCCCTGATGGGAGACTCGTGGGCTTTTCCCAGCATCCCATAAGCGGGATGGACAGCGAGGCGGCCCTGCTGCTGTGTTCACTGTACAGTCCATATCCACTGTGAGGCAGAGACTGCCGCCGCTTTCGATCAAATCCAGAACCTTCAGCGGGCTGCGATGCGTCCGACCGACCGACCGCCTGCTTCTCTCTGCTGCATTGCTGGAAGCTTCCCCGAGAGACGCTAAGACGCCGTCTCTGGGTTTTGCGGCGTCACTCTTTGCTGCATATTTATACAGTTTGTCTATTGCTGAGAAACGATGTTGTGTAACGAGTATCTGTGTCGCGGGATTTGACAGAAAAGCATGAGCTGCGGCACCTTGACAGTTTTAATGGTTTAGATTTTAAATCCATCCTTGGCTCATGTTTGTCGACGCCTCCGTAGCAACGCTGTGGTTGTCGTGGTAACAGCGTGAAGTCCTTTGTGCGGTTTAATTTCAGTAAATGCATGTTGACTGACTGCTTCTGCCAATAACGATCATTTTCATTTGTGTTCATCTGTTTTGTTTTTTTTTTTTAGTCTCAAACTGTTTGAAAATTGAGCAAAAAGTCATTTTGAAAACTGACAAAATGTTGCTAACGTCAAGTCAAAGATGTAATTTAAGACGTCAATAAACGGTTAAACAGGTTTAAGTTATGGTTTAGTGTCCAATCAATAAAAATACAGGTAGATGAATAATTAAATGTAAGACTGGTACAGATGGAAAGCAAAACAAAAGCATGTTAGCGTCACTAAAGCCTTTTAGCTAGCTAGAAAACCCTAAGAATTGAGCTACAAATGCTACTTTTTTAGCTTTCTTTGGGTGAAATTAGGAGAAAAGTACCATTAAATCAGTCACGTAGTTGAAAGAATAACTCTGTAAAATCCAACATTTATCTCCAAGGAGGTTTAGAAGAACAGAGATAGTGTTAGCTCTCTGGCTAACGTGCTTTAGCTGCAGTAAACACAATGGTTTCTATTACAGGCACTAATTAGTGCAGTTAGAAGACAAAAGCTAGCTTCAGTACAGTAGCTAATATGTAATCTATCAGTTACAGGAACATTTTGGAATATTTTTACCTCATGAATGTAGCTCTCGGTGTCGTGCTAACTCTTAGCATCCAGACAGGGAAGATCTCCATGTGTCCACTGATGATGATGACCGCTGATGTCCACAATGGCTCCAAAATGGTTAAGAACAACCTAAAAATGGTCCAAAATGGCTTAAAACGTGTCCAAAAGTAGCTAAAAACTGTAGACAGTGACATTAAAAAATGTCCACAATGGCTGAATGTTTTAAAATGTTTTACACACCAGCAAAACGTCTGTTCCAGGCGACTCCTAAACTTGGATAAGATGCTAAACCCTGAATGGCTACAACGGACACAAAGAAGAGCGTTAGCAACGTTAGCATGACACAGTGATCTGAAATAACCTGGAGTTCTTCTCTCAGCTAGCTATGTAGCTGCAGAAAGAAGAAAAATATGATAAATGTGGGTTGTGGGAAATAATAAGGACAATAAAATTAGCAAAATGAACGAGGTTAAAAACAATTTATAGTGAACAATAAACAGCAGAGTAAAATGACTTAAGGGTTGAGCTTTTTTTTTTTTAAATCAACTAATTAGTGGTTAAAAGAAAGGTTTTAGCTTGTATATTTGCTTTTACACTTAATTTTACTAATATAATTACCAGAATGTTTATTTATGTATTCAGTTATATGGTTTGCTTGTCAGCTCGTTTACAAAATGTCATCAATAAGATAAAATATAGAATCTGGTGTCAATGAAGTCACTTTGTTAGCATTAGCTTGGTGGCTAAACATATTTCAGCTTCCTTTAAAAGAGTTTTAGTGGCTAAAAGAGTGAAATAACAACAGTAGGTGAATGATTAAAATTCAGTTTCAAATTTTAGCTTCAGCTTGGTAGCTAGCTTAAAGGCTAAACAACCTGTGTCAGCTTGGTAGGCTAACTGAGCTAGCTGGTTAGCTGGCTACCTAGCTAGCTCAGTTTCAGAAAATTACAATTTTGTGTGGAAAAGTAGTTTACAGTGTGCGAAGAACACAAAAATTAGCAAAATTAACAAGTTATCAAATGAAATGAGCGACAGAACAATAAACAGCAGAGTAAAATGTAATTGGATTTAGCTTTATGGTCAGCAAATTAGACGTTTTCACATTTAATATTTGTTATTTAAGTAACGATATTACTTTTATTTATGTATTCAGAGACATTTTTCTACTTTTCTCTCTTTTATTAACACATTCTGTCAGTTTTACTCAATTTAAAATAAGAATATTTGGCATTTTCCTGAAAACAACTCATCAAAAATTGCTCATAATTTAATTTATTGTTGTATTATTCAGTTTATTGTTGCAGTCTTGACTTCTTTTTTTAGTTTTTTGAGCTTCTCTTTGTAAAAAAAAAACAAAACACTACAAAACGCTGTTACTGAAACAACCACAGTGTTGTTACAGACGTCCTTGTGAATCTTAATGCCTGATCTTGCGTGATGTAAAAACAAAAAACTAAAAACAAACCTCCCTGAACTATGAAGGAACCTGCACCCCGCTGTGTGTAACCGGGTGTTATTAACCCTCACCCAGGCCTTTTTCTACTCCGCTGTCTACATATACATACATACATATATATATATATATATTTGGAGAACTATATTTAGTAAAACTGAAGATAGTTTAAAGGCAGATAACTTATTTATTTGTTGTGTAGCTTCATAAACATCCATGTTTCAACACTGGATCCAGTTCTGACCCGTGGACCACTGTGTGTTCTCCTGACGTGGACCTTCTTCCTCGTAGAACTGTGACGTCGAGGTGCTTCAGGACCTTTTCCCTCCGTGCTACTGTTATTCCACCACCGTTGGATTTAAAGCGGTCCAGTGAGCATGCTCTGTCCGGTCCGGTGTTACAGCTGTAGTGTTTGTTTTCATGCTTTTAAAAACCTTCGAATCACTTTTCATTTCTGGATGATAAAATATCAGCTTCTCGGAGCTGCTTTTTGTTTTTTTAAACCCTCTAATGGTATATTTTCCTTTTATTTTTTTGTATTTAAAAGTATATGAATGTATTGTGGATCCAGATTTGCAGAATATTTTTCTTGACAGATGCTTTTAACGTACGGGAGAAGAAAGTGATATATGATATTATATTGCTGTATTAAAAAAAACAAAGAATATAAAGAAATGCAGACGTTTGTTTTCCGTGCGGGAGCAGAATGTAGGTCAGACTGGTGGTGAATGTGCGTTTGTGGAGGGGCTGTTGTTGTGTCGGTGCCACGTGTCGGGACAAAAACTCACCCATGTGTTGTCCCACAACTATTCAGCAGCATCACAGGAACTCGTGGACTCGGCGACCTCGCGGGCGGCTTTGACTCGAGCCGAGCAGGAATTCACACCCAGCGGTCCTGACCGACCGACAGACGGACTGATTTTATCATTAAAATGTCAGAAACTCCAAAGTAGAGCCCAGTTTTAATCAGCGAGTGTTTTTAGAAAACAGGATTTTTGTGTTTTTAGTTTGAAACCCTGTTTTTGGGGGCTGATTTCAGGACGTTTTACATTCCCAGAGCGCGTCAAATGTAATTTTTTGCTCGAAAAACAACCAAATAGATCATCTGGAAGAGCAAAAACACATCAAACCACATTTAGACGTCAAACTCTTTCACAAAACCTTGAGTTCATTCAACAAAAGAAGCCAAAATATTGTCTGGGTGAAAGACGAACACTCAGAAGCTTATTGACGAGTTGTTTTTGAGACAAATTAAATGCGTTGGCTTTAGAATTAAGCTTATTTCTACTAGAAAACAGCAGCACTGGATAACGTTTGAGTATCTGCACATCAGAGCATTTAGATGACAAATTCTTGTGTCTTTTCTTCAGATTAATGTCAGGTTTTGTGCATAATAGTTTTGTAACCGTCATGTTTGACCAGTTTTCAGGATGAAACCAACAAAAAAACATCAGGAACCCAGAGTAGTGGACTTGGGTCAAGACCAGGTGAGCATGGGCCTGAACTACGCAGCAGGATTTGGGGTTATCGAGGTAACTTCAGGTTAAATCCTGGGTTTTTGGTCCTACGACGGTGGTTCACTTCTTACCGGGGTATATCACCATAGTAACGTACACTGAACGGCTAACCAGGAAGGTATGTTGGAGGTTGAGATCACTGGTATATAAACATCTCCACTGAAAATCAGTTCTCACCCGTAAAACTTCAGAAGGATTAGAAAATGAAGCCGCTCGTCTCATGTGCACGCGCTCAGATCAGACAAACCTGAGTTGACTTACCGAGTTGATAACCACCATCGTAGGACCGGTTGTGAAGCCGGACCTCTGAAACACATCCTGGCTTCGTAGTCCAGGCCCCATGAAAGCTAGTTTGACCAAAATCAGTCCCTGATGACAAAGTGACATCAACATGACTCAACCAAACCATCGCTCTGGTCGGAATGAGATGTTTAGCAAACGTTTGGTTGGACGAAAACATTGATAATCAACGAAAAGTGGTCAGAATTGTTGCACAAGATAAAATAAATTAAAGTTTTACTGTGTCGCAGGTTGAAGATGTGAGAATAATCGGATATAAAACATGCTCTGAATCTATTTTCTTTCTTAATAATGAACGTGTGCGAGGATTTGGGGCTCATTTTTTCCAATCCGGAAACACACTTTCGTAAAAACATAAAAAATGTAAATAACTTCTTCAACAAAAAGAAAAGTCAAACAAATCTGCTTTTTGTTTTCCTTTTAAACCTTTTTCAAACAAACCTCAACAATAAAACAACACCAGAAAAAGGACCAACACCCGACGTACGTCTCAACAAACCAAGCGGTGAGTCGGTTTCAGGAACGTTTTTGGTATGTTTTTTAATAAATTAACGTTCATTCAAAATACAGTGCCAAAGGAATATGATGCAGCCAAACATGCTAGTAAGGTTTGTCATGAAGCACCTGTGCTCATGTTTTTAAAGGTAGGAGGAAGACCCCTCCCCCCCCCCCCGCCCCGCCCCGCCCCCCCTCCACTACTGCTAGTGGTTGCCGGGACGATTTTCAACAGCCCTGGCCCCGCCCCCCTCTCCTCTCACAACCAATCAGCAGCAAGAATCCTCAATATTCACTCAGAAAAAGAAAATTAAATCCGATAGGAAAATGGATATTCTACCCAACAATCACACTACAGTAATGTCTGATATTAAATTAAAAAAAGACACTAATACAAAATAGACCTGGTTATTTTCCCCACTAGAACAGTTGTCTTTTAAACATATGAAAAATATATATTTTATTATATATATATTTCAGCAGCTTGGAAATAAAAAAAAAAGAAAAAAAATGCATGAGCCTGAAAATTTGTACTGCGAGTCATTGTGAGTGTTTTTTTGTTTTTCTTTTTTTTGCCTCGTGGAAACGGTGGCGGCGCTGGATAGAGTGAGGTGTAAACTGCTGGCTGTGTGGAAGACCTGTGTGCAAACAGACGCGAGAACAGGCAAGATGGAGGCCGGAGAGCGGCGGCGGGAAGGCGGGCGGCGGGCGGCTGGACCTGCAGCCGCCCTCGTCTTACACCCGCCTCTCGCTCGGCTTCCACCCGTCGAAGCCTCCAGAAAAACCTCCTGTTTCCCCCGTCTGCTGGGCCTTTTGAGAACTGGGTTTAAAGGAATACTCCGCTCAAAATCAAACACAAGCAGGTGGAGGACTCGGACGTCTTTGGGTCGAGTTGAAAGAAGCGATATGAAGATTTGAGCTCTGCAAAGATGAAATATTCATACTCGGTGGATTAAGACGGTTTCATTTTCTCCATTTTCTATCATTCTACACTGAAAGAAAATCTAAATATTGTCATTATTTCTAGCCGTGTTTCCACAGAGAATTAAAATTAAATGTATGAAAACTGTATGTTGCTCCGTTTCACATCACTGTAAACTGATTATTTTTGCAGTTCTTCTGTTTCAGACGTTCGAGGAATAAATGAATCAACCAGAACACTTGTTGAGCTGCAGCCGGTTTGACAAAACATTTCAACCTTCCAGCTGCATTTTCTGTCCGTCTGTGGATAAAGATGGTTTCATTTTCTCCATTTTATATCATTGTAAACTGAAAGAAAATCAAAATATTGTCACTATTTCATTATTTCTAGCCGTGTTTCCACAGAGGATTAAAATTAAATGTATAGAAAACTGTATTTTTGCTGCTTTGTTTCGTTTCACATCACTGTAAACTGATTATTTTTGCAGTTTTGGACAGTTTTTTCCGTTTCAGGTCAAACTTTCAGCTGCATTTTGTGGCCGTCTGTGGACAGAATCGACTGATATCATGTTAACTGAAGGTTGATTATTTACCAACAAACTAGTGGTTTAAAACTAAATTCATAGCGTAAAGGTCCAAACCTGCACAAACATGTTCTGGTCATGTTTCCATGTAGCTGTCAGGAGAATCTAAAGCAACGTATGAAGACTGCAGCTCATCATTTCTCTGATTTCTGGTGAAAAGAAGTTTTTAACTCTCCTGAAAACGTTACCTGCTGGTTGGTTGTAAATCATAAGAACATCTTTAGATTTCAGTTCAGTTCTTCTCTGACTGAAGTGTTCAAACTGCTTGTTCTGGTTCATTAAGGCTCCATTAAAGGCCGTTTATCACAGCAGCAGAAGAGGATCTGAGGCTTGTTTACGATGATGAAAAGTGAAGGTCAGAATATCTGAAATGAAAACGTTCTCTGGTTTTACATCGTAGCTACCCGGATATTTCTGCAGTTTGTTTTTCTGTTTCATAAACTGTGATATTAAACAATTACCAGAATACTTGTCAAGCTTTAAAACTAATCTGTATTTTGTGGCTGATATCAGGTTAACAGCTGAACATGAAGGTCGATTACTGACCTACGACTTCGTAGTTTGACAAAACCTGCACAAATATTTCCTCAAACTCCACGATTTCTGGTTTCAGCACTGAAAATGTGAAGATTTGCTGTTTTATCTCACTGTAAACTGAATATTTTCGCAGTTTTTTTTCCTTTACAAACACAATAAGAACGACCAGTTCACCAGAAAACTCGTCACGCTGCAGTTTGACAAACAGTCGAGTGCGTTTTGTGGCTTTTGGTGGATAAATCAGATTATTATCACGTTAACCGCTGAACTTAAAGGTTGATTATTGACCTCTGAGCTCGTAGTTTGACACCAAATCATCAGTTGCTCGCGTGTTTAACCATTTATCAGCAAAAATGGTGAATGTTTGGGTTTTTCGCGGAGTATTCCTTTATCAGTAATGAGAGAAGAGGAAGAGGAGGAGGAAGAGGAGAAGAGGGGAAGAGAGGGAAGCCACGATCTGAAAGAAGGGGGCTGGTGGATTTTGGTACAGTTGCCATTGTCATTTACGAGAAGGTTTTACCAGTTAAGTGCATCATCATCATCCTCATCATCATCATCATCATCACAAAATCAGCTGACGTTTAGATTATCACATTGTAGAAACAGTATGACAGACGCAAGAATATCTAACAGGTGTCACGACTGACAAAATAAGAAGGAGGAAAAAAAAAAAAAGAACCAAAAACAGAATTTTTCAGATTACTAGTATTGTTGAGGGGCATCTTCTCGCTCCAAGCTTGTTTTTTCTTTTCACGGCTGCACTGTTTGGTCAGTAACAGCCTCCAAAGTCCAGAGATCCCTCCACGACACGGATAACGTCAAACCCTTTCATTTCTAAGAGATCCGATGTCCCCCCCCCTTCATGTTCGTCCCTCAGTCTAGGTTCAGTCAGCGAGGTGAGGTAGGGGAGGGGAGCTTAAGAGCTATACGTGAGGGAGGGTCACCAGCTCCCCGTCCACCTCGAACTCCTCGGCTCCGTCGGGGGAGAAGAGGTAGGTTGGGGGTTTCCAGGGGGACTCCTCCAGGCAGGAGGGGTACAGCTTCCCCACCGCACACCGGAAGTCCTTCCCCAGATCCCAGAGCACGCGTTCGGACACGGGCTGCCGCAGGTGCCAGCGGTCCAGCTCCACGTCGTACTGGTAGATGGCGTACTTGGCGCGCTCGTTCATGTGGGTCTCGCGCATGAAAATGCAGAGCGAGTTGAGCAGCACCACGGCCCGGACGCACGGGTCCGAGTAGCGCTTGGCCGGGATGTTGGCAGCCAGGCGCCACTCGTTCTTGTTGACGTCGTAGATCTCCACGGTGACCGAGGAGCCGTCGATGGTGCTGGTCGGCAGGCGGATGCCGGAGTTGCTGACCACGTGGAGGCCGCCGATGTAGAAGATGAGGTCGCCGAAGGCGGCGGCGGACGCGAAGCAGCGGCTGGTCTTGCGCATGGCCATCTCCACCCAGGTGTCGGCTCGGGGGAAGTAGCAGTACATCAGGTCGTGGGTCATGACGTAGATGCAGTCGTGCGCCACCACCGAGGTGCTCCAGTTCCAGGCGAAGGGCAGCGGGCTCATCATGCTCCACTCGTCCTTCTCGCAGTCGTAGCGCTCCACCGTTCGCTTGTTCAGCTCCCCTCCGACGTTATCGCCGCCGATTGCATAGATGTAGCCTTCGCAGCAGACCAGCGAGGGCTTGATTCGGGCACACAGCATCGGGGTTTTGGGCACCCAGGAGTTCTGCTGGGCGTCGAACCAGAAGAAGCTGTCGACCGAGCGGAAGACGGCCTGAAACTTGCCGCTCTTGCCGTGGTTGGTGATAGAGTTTTTGAGAGGAATCTGTCCGCCGGCGATGAACACATCGTTGTCCGGAGTAACGAGGGTTCCCACCTTCTGCAGGTCTCCTGGGGGGTTGCAGAGCTTGTAGACTTTCTCCGCCTGCGGGCTGTAACACACCACCGTAGTAGGCACCGACGTGGACAGCACGTACACCTCGCCCTGCGTTTCCGACATGGCCTCCATGAAGATGAGCATCTCCTCCTTGGTCATGCCTAACCGAGGCTTGAAGAACTTGGGCATGGACTTGTAGAGGCCTTGGACCACCACAGATTTGTCGTTGGGCGGCAGCCCCTGAAACCAGGCTCGCTGCGTCACCTCCGACAGGGCGTCGATGCGGATCTGGCTGAGCACCGAGGACAGGTGCTGCGACCGCGCCTCCATGTTGTACTCCAGCCACAGCATGGCCGCCTCGCGCACCGTCTCCTCCTTCTCCACGTTGAGGTTGTCGCTGCTCAGGATGTCTATGAGCAGCTCGTGGGAGAGCTGCAGGAAGGCCTCCTGTCGGTACACCATGGGGAACTTGTGCTCCACCATTCGCTTGGCGCTCTGCTTTAGCTCGCTGCAGCTGAAGAGGTCGCCGATGCTCAGCATGCGGACGCAGTTCTCAGCGTTTATCTTCTTCACCAGATAGTCTCTGCACTGCAGCAAGACGTCTTCCACCTGAAGGGGACGGAGGGCAACAGTCAGGCAAAAATAATCCTCTTTGCATCAGACACACAGCGACGAAGACGCTCAATTTTAATAAATCCTCAATTTAAAGATGTAAAAAAAGAAGAAAACCAACATCTGCACACTCTGGCTGTAGTACACCAACGTTTTCTGTCAATATAACTAATAATATTGGCTGGTAAAGTGAATTAAAAAGGGATTCTTTCATGATTTTAGTCAGAAAATCAGCAGCGCCAGAACTGATAAGAACTGAGAATTTTACAACATCTATGTTTTTTAACCATCTCTGCCCATCAGGATTTCATTTACTCAAGCATAGGACACGTTTCTGTTGAACAAATGGTCATAAATAACAAGAAGATGCATAGATTTCTGTCAAATAAGTCGCAGATCACACCTAAAAATCATTTCTGGAGCAGAAAAAAATCCTGAATTATTACTTTAAATTAATGCAATGATAATAAAATATCCCATTTAGTAAAAGAGCTGTATTTTTAAATTTAAAGACGTAAATATTGAGCTCCCAGACTTCTTGCCAATTTATTAAAACACTCCGAAACACCCTAAAACAACTGAACAATGTGGTTTTTAGCCTCCAACAACAAATGAAGGAACAGGACAGTTGTTGGAGGCTATTTTCACAGCAACAGTCAATGGAGCTCTACAGCACACAGATATAAACACGTTGACTTGTTGTTTATGTGTTTTGTTGACAGTAAAATAGCGCTTGGAGGATGCGTTTGACGGACCTGCAGGAAGCAGGCGGTCTCGTAGAGCGGCTCCACCGTGCTGTCGCTGATGGCCAGGTTGCCCGTGTAGGCGTAGGTGATGATGATCTGCAGCGTGGCTGGATCCACATTCCTCAGGTGGACGTGGGTCTGTTTGCTCTCGCTGAGGCCGCTCATGAACATCGCCCTGCGGGAGAAAACACAACGGCGTCAGTCGACACGGCAACCGAAGTAAACTACGAGATCCGACGCCGATTTACCGCCTCCGTGAAGATAAGAGACTTTATCAGCTGCTGCGACACAGTAAACAGCGGCCTCGTTATCAACCTGGACGGCAACCTCACTTCAGATATACTCCTGTGCAGCTGCATCTAAAAACTACTTTTCTGTTCATTATTTTGTTTTCAAAGTGTCAGTAAATAATGAATAAATGCCTGTTACAATTTCTAAAACACTCAGGTGACATCTGCAAAAGTCACATAATCCCAAAAATATTCGGTTTGCCATCATGTGTAGCAAAGAAAAGAATCAAATCCTCACGTGAGAAGTAAAAAAAAAGCACATTTTTAATATCTAAATACACAAGTTGCTGTTTAATGTTTGGTTGATGAGTGCAGCAGAAATAAAAGCAAGCGGTGTGAAGTTTTTAGTCAAATTTACCCAAATTTTTCCAAGCAAACACAATTTGAAGCCAGTTAATTTAATGCTCGTTTTTTTAAATTGGTTTCCAAGCCATTTTCTTAATCTTAAGACTTGAACATACACGCTGTCCTTATTTAATCTGCAAAACATTTCCCAGGAAACAATTTTTTTTTAAAAAAGGAGCAGATTTTTGACATTAAACGCTGCAACCTGGAACTTCTGAGCAGCAGAAATAAAAGCTTTTTAGTCAAATGTACCCAAATCAAACATCATTTTAAGCCTGTGCATGTCCTAAATATCACAGTTTATCCAGTGCTCCTAGTTGCTGGTTTGCTAGGCGGCCTTTTTGAACCAAAAACACATTTTTAAAACTGATTTCTACATCATCTTGCTCATTATAGTTTACGTATTTGACCTGCAAACCATTTTCCATTAATATCAGCTGTATTAAAGCCGTCCCACTATTAGTTTCCATGTATTCTGTAATTATCCGCCGTTTCCAATCAACCTTCCCGTTCTGGGTAAAAAGCCCGACTTGTTGCGACAGACCCATAAGACGGGACAAATCTCTGGTCTGCAGCGGGCGAAGCGGCTCCTAATTCAGTCTTGTTCACTGTTTTACTACCCAAAGTTTTTCTTTTAAATAAACAGAGCCTCCTAATGACAGTTGGCCACGAGCCAGACTGGCTGGAAAAACAGACCGAGTTACCAGCCGGAGCCCTGGTACCTGTAATTGGCTGCTGCTGGAATTCACTTCCCGCTGTGGTCATGTCATTTTGCAGCTACATCCAGTCTGGACTCGGCGTTACTGAACCGATCCGGAGGTACATGCATCTATGTAGTGCACCATTTAGCTGATAAAACATATATTTTCTCTCTTCATGTGGATTTTTTTGCTATTTTATCCTCAATAAACGACTCAAACGACAAATCAATCGTCCAAATAACCACCAATTTGTTTTCTTTTAAGTGCTCCAGCTTTAAAACTGGCATTATTCTTCAATAATGAGGTGTTTTCACTGCATAAGGAGTGATGTGAAGCAGAGAAATGACTGATTCAGCACTGCAATGACTCACCGCTGTCATTAGCCTACAAAGCTTTAAATATTCTTGGTCTCAGGGAGCGGGGCTGAACACCGCTGGCTTTATTTGGAGCAGATGTTACTACTGGCTTGTCGTACACTGATTAGCTTGTCCACCAACACAGTTTCCCAAGTACCGGATGACAAAAAGTGACATTCAGCAGCAGCAGCAGCAGCAGCAGCAGCACCTGGATGGTGGGCCGACTGCGTACAGTTTAGCTCCAGCTGGGCTCCGACTCCCATGTCGCAGCAGCCTCGGCAGGCCGCCCACGCTTCCACGTTGTCATTTATCAGCTCTCGGCGTGAGTCACAGCCTCTGTAACCTCATTCACGGCACCAATTTCTCACATTTTATGCATCTGTAGAGCGGTTATTGGCCCGCGCTGGTGATTTGCATTTACTCCGCCTGCCAAACTCGCTGCTGCGGGGAAGTTTCCGCGCTGCACTTGTCGGATACGCAGCGTTCACTGGCACCGCGCTAACCGGCGCTAATTCACCTCCTTGTTTATTCCACAGAAGATATAATTGCAGCTTTTGGAATGCGCAAACACATAACTTCCTATTTCCCAAATGATTTTTCTGGGTAAAAAGCCACCAGATGCCCAAAGAAGGATTTTAAACAATGATGCAGAAATGCTCAGTGAGCTTTAGGTTTAAATGCAAACTACACTAGTATGTATTAGCCAGTAGAACACGCCTTCTACAACCATATTTATTGACTTTGATCAGCATTTAAGCCTATTTACAAAAGAAATGTGCGCATTTGCTGATTCCGACACCTCAAATGAAAGGATTGTTGCTCTCCTCTTTGTTTTTTTCAACTCTAAACTGAATATATCTGTCCGGGTTGAAGAAACGGATCCTGATAGAGTCTGTCTGCACGTCTGATATTATTTATGAATACATCAAAGCTGCTGTTCCACATGTGTAAAGGCATACAACTCTATCTTTGGACGCTCTCTGATGAATCCTGCTGCTGTCTGATGCTGCAGCTGTTTAATAATCTCAGAGGAAACACTCCTACAAACAGCCGGAAGCAACAAACCCAACCTAAGCTGCTGTCATTGTTTTGTCAAAACTTTGGGTGACATTGATTTTCATAATTTTGTTACGGATATCAAACTGTGAAGCAAAGCGAATTAGAAAGATGTTTTGTGACCAATATAGGCTGAAACACCAGAAACAAAAACTATCTGAGGAACCAGTCCTGACTGTGAACATCGACGGTCGATTATTCGTTTAACTGATGAACAGAAAACCTGCAGACAAACACTTTTTCCTTCTGAAGACTATTTTGACAGAAAGGAACTGAACCTGCTGTTTCTTTTCCCCCATAAATTACTAAATATGATTAACTTTTGAACAGTTGTTTAATCCAAAGTAGGAAGCTTTTTCTCGCTATGTTCAGGACGTCCTGATCTGACCTCAAACATCAGGATCAAAGCGTTTTACTGGTATCAGCTTTAACCAAAGCCTGATCCTTTGTTTACGTTCGCCGTCACTCAGAGAGAGCAGAACTTGAAGCGCAACTGGGCGTGAATAAGTTTCCTGTTCAATAATCAATAGCATTATCGATCAATAATCTAATAATTGACAACAAAAATGGGGCACAGTTGACATTTGTGCTATCGATGCTCATTCCAGGTCATTGAGCATCACGGACGTCTTTGTCATGGTGTCCGCCGTTAGCTAAACGCTCCCACAATTCCCTCTGCTTGCCGACATGAAACTACCGACTAACCGACTCCTCTGATCGCGACAATATCAAACGATGAGCAGTACGACAGCTCATCTACGTTAAACTGACTGACACGTTTGGATGTACAGAATACAGGCTTTTGTTGTCTTTAGGAGCTTGTAGAGCCACCGTTTAACCAACCATCACCTAAAAACAAGCTTCAAGAACCACCAGCGTAACATGAATGCAGAAATGCGTTGCAGAGCTAGCCAGCTATTCAAATACACGGGACTGACTTTTAGTAACTCTGATACACTTGAAGGGTGTTTGATGTGGAAAAATGGCATCAGATAGTAAATAATTAAACACTCTGGGCCAAGAGAAACTTAATCAGCTATTATCTAAACAGAATAGTTCACCGATTATTCCAGAAAACACTTAACACATAATCGGTGTTTAGAATTACAGTCAGTTTGTGCCTTCAAAGCGCCGCCACGCTCTTTCCTGTCCTGACAAGCATGTTTTGAGAGTTTCATGGATGAGCAGACTTTACAAACAATTAAATTGACTGTCACTGCTTTTTAATAACAATTTGTCTGCATAAGTGCCGGGCCCTCCTGAGCGGGGTATCGGGGGTGTGTTGATCGCAGCAGGGGCTAAACCTGCCAGGCTGTATTACGCAACCCTGCAGGCAAACCCCTGCACCTCCTCCTCCTGCTTTTTCCTCTTTCTTCCCCTTTTTTCTCTCCATCTCTCACCAAGACCTACGTGACCAGACTTTCCCTACAAACACAAGCTCTCTCCAGAGCCTCCCCCCCTCTCCCCGCCTTCCCTTCCCTTCTTTCCCCGAAGCGAGGCGTGCGTGGAGAGGGGAGGTGGACGGAGAGGCGGCAGACAGAGAAAGAAGGAAGGCGGTTTAGAGGAAGCGCTGCGACACCTCTAAACCCTGAAGGGGAAATGCTTTGCATGTTCGCACCAGATAACGAGTGCGTGGGAAACCGTGGGGAGAGACGGGAGGCATGAAGTTGTTTTCTTGGAATGCATGTGTGCAGCGCGAGACGGGAGGGAGGGTGAGAATAGGAGGGGAGAGAAAGGGGAGGTAGACAGCATGTAGCTCCTGTCATGTACAGATGGACTCTTCCCAGAGTCGAGGCTGCGGCTCTGTCATATTCACTGCAGTGCACACACTTCATTATGCAATGTTGTGCGTACAAATGAGGCCTCCCGAGGGCCTTGAAGGATACGTCTGTGGAACTCCACGTTCGAGATTGCTTCATTTGTTCCGTGCAGAAACATATCAGACGTGGAATAACTGGTGCAGACGACGGCCCTCCAAGAAACACCATCCCCTTGTTTTCCACCGTATGGAGTAGGTAACACTTGCTCTACAACGCGGTGCATTATTCATTGTAACTGTAGGAGGCGAGCACTTACAGGCATAACACCGCTCCATAATGACAGCGGACGCACACCTCATCACAATAAGCGCCGCAAAACACGGTCACAATCGCCCAGAGGTTGTTGAAAACAGCAATGCACATGAGTTATTCCCTACACGCGGCAGGAGGCCGACTACAGTGTGGCGCACTCACCTGAAATAGGAGCTACACGTGGCCAGGACCATCTTGTGACATGGGAACTCTGTGTCCTCCACCAGCAGCACAACGTCAGTCAGTAATTTCTGTTCGTAAAAGAACTTGAGCTGCTCCAGCAGGGAGACAGCGTAGTCCGTGTTGACCGGCCTGCGCTCACTGAGATCCGACATGGTTGCATCCCATGAATCGCGCCCCAGTTTTGAAAAGTCACGCGGCCGGCAGAACCGGACTCAAGCCAACCAGGAGAAAAAAAAATATATATTCTCAAAGATTCAAAGGGATGAATGGGGGGGAGGGGGAGGGGGGGACAACTCTTCAACACCTCCACTGGCCCGAGTGGAGGTGTTCAGCTCCTGTGAGGGAAATATTCCACTGCTCCTTCTGCTGGAGACGAGCTGAAGGCCAAGAGGAGAAGGCTGTGGCGACCAAGTGTCACCGTCAGGAGTGCAGAGGAAGGGGTCCGGGGTGAGGAAGGGGCCGTTTCCCCTCGTTGGGTCTATCTGCTGTGTGAGGTCATGCAGCGAGGCACTGAGGACTGGAGGTAGACGGAGAGCGACTACTGTCGCAACACTGCTGCGTCAGTCACGGTCTGAAAAACACAGCAGAAAAACAAGAAGTGCAGCGGTTAGTCTGGAATCCACGGTCACCAAGAGTGCAAAGATTTTCTTTGGGCTGTCAGAGCAGCTAACGTCCTAAAAAGTCTTATTTAACATGAAATGTGTACAGGTCACCTGCTGCCATCTCCCCCTCCACCCTCTTGTCCAGAGTCAGTGGGAGAGTCTGAGTGGAAGACGGCAGAAGGACTCACATTACTGGACTACTGGCCGTCTATCAAACAAAACAACATCTGAATCCACAGGAGCTGCGTGTAAAGATATTTCATTCATACGCTACTACGCTAGGCTAAAAACAACAAACCAGAGCCTCTTTTCCTGAAGGCATCTCAAAGCTACTTTTATCATTTTGGACTTAAAATAGTTTGGGGATATTTCTGTCTGCAGTGACGCCACTTTCCTGTTTTGCAAAACACTGGAGCTGCAGTGAACAGTTACTGTCGCTGTCAATGAATCTGTTATTCTAACTGATGAGCTGTTTGGTTCACAATATGTCAGAAAATTGGGGAAAAGCGTTGATCAGATTGATTTCAAAAGCCCAACTTGACATGCAACAAAAACACATTCAGTTTACCGTCATACATGAGGAAAGAAAGCAGGAAATATTTTAATCTGAGAAGCCAGGATCTGAGAATTTATCCATTTTTTTCTTTTAAAAGTTACTAAAACTGATTAGCAAAATAGTTTAATAGTTAACAATCAATTAGAACACAGTAGTTCAGGTGGCATACGAGGACAGAATCAGACAACGCTGCTTTATTGGTGATAAAGTCATGTTGTGCTGTTCATACTTTAGGTTCATGTGTCTAAAGCGGTCCTTAAAGACAAATCAACACAGCTTACAACTACATCACCAATACTACTGCCGTTATAAAAGGCCCTTTCAATGAAGCGCTGTGGAGATGGTTAAACGTAGATGCACCCAACAAACTCTCCTGCTAAGATCAAGTCTTACATCAACCTGTGAGCTGATAATCTGAAAAGTTCAGGACGCATTTTACAAACATCTCTGCACCACATCAGATCAAAACCGCTGGACGCTGATGCAGAACTCTGAGGCGGTGTCATGTTTTAACACTTCTGTTGTCAACAAGTCCTGCCACTGCTGTCAACAAGAGCTTCAGAATATTTTTAATTTCTGTGAACGCTGGTGTCGGTACGGTCAACGTGACTGACATGAGGTGAGAAACCATTTTAGGAACAAGTTCTGACAGCAGGAACTATCTCTCGCTGTCAATTGTTTAGTTTGTTGAAAACTTGTGAAGGTGTAAATAACAAAGACTTCAGAGGAATTTATTCAAGCAGCGATACTTTGCATTAACTGACGTCTGAACTGCTGCTGCCTCCAAACAAAACAGACTTTTCTCCATAATTTCCTGACATTTTGTTCTCAAAGTCACTTGCTTATTTCAGACAATAATTCTTAGATGAACACATAAAAACACAATCACTAGCTGCAGCACTTTGAACCACTCTGTCACTCTGGTTGTGTTGCGTTGCTCTCCTTGTAGACCAACACCATGAAGCAACACCGTTTACGATTACGTCATCATGGTCACCCATGTCGGCTGTAACAGGCCACCCGACACGACCTCTGATGTGGTGTCATCTTTTCACCTTAACACGTGTGTTGTTAACATGCCCTGCAGCAGCTGTCAGCGTGAGATTCAGAACGTCTTTAATGTATGTGAACGACAGTGTCTGTAAGTGTAGCACGAGCAGCTAGCTAGCATTTCAGCAACGTAAAGCAGGTTAGTAGAGCTAAAATACTGACATAAGCGATAAACATTAAATTAATAGGACGAAGAAGACTGACCAACAGAGTGTTTGATAGTTCACTTCAATAAGTTCAGTTTCATGAATAAACCTCTCAGAACAAACTATCAGCCCCTTCACCCTCCATTGCCTTTCCTTTGGCTTCCATGCAGGTCTCCTGAGGCACGCTAGTCTGCTGTCATTGGGCTTCTCGTCGCCTACTTTCCCAACCACAGACCTCCCTTGGTGGAGGCTGACGGAAACTAGCTTTCTGGTCTATAAACACCTACAACCCAACATCCATCTCTATTGTACATGTGACGTACTTCCAGCGGCGTGACAGACTTGTTGTGGGGTTCATGCGGAGGCTGGTACCACCGGTCCAGTCCAGCCATCTGGAACCTTAACCTCAGTATGGTGCTGCAGCAATTCACCCTGATCCCCCGTCAAGCACCTCCATCTTTTATTTACTTTCATTAATCAATGTGTTTTAAGGTGAGATTGTTCTTTTATTCTTACTTGTTTCATACTGGAGCAGGCAGTTCATTGCGTTAACATGAAATTATTATCTGTGTGTCTTAACAAATACACTACAGTGGCTAAATTCAATTAAGCCTTTTTCTGTGTTAAAAACAGTTCATTAAAAATTATCAATATTGACTAAAATCAAACATTAAATCATGCTAAATATTTCAGATATGTCCCTCAGCCCTATGGAGACCTTTGATAGATGGAAATGTGAGTAATATCTGGCAGTTTGGCAGCTCCTAATGTGTTTGCCGGATAGTTGGAGGTGCAGCTTCCCCACGATGTGTGCAGGCTGTAGGTGGATGTTAGCAAGTGTGCACCATCCCTCATTAAATGACACATCCTTCGCCTCACGTTAGGCCATCTACACTACATACATCAACTTGAAAAGCTTCAAAAGCAGGCCAGCCATTTATCAACTTAGCCCCAATCCTGTGACAACATGTTCACCCCCACAGCCTGCAAACTAACCGGTTATACCCCAACTAAAGGCTGGCAGCTGAACTGTGTTTGTCGTCAAATTTTTGGGGGGGGACTAGCCTGATGCTGTCTGGCTAGCTGCGTTAGCACCACCGCTCCACTTTGTCCAAAACAAACCCAGAGTGAAATCTAAAACACGGCAAAGTAACCTTAGACAGACGGGCCCGCTGCGAAACATACCTCCGTGTGGTTAGCAAGCCCGACGAGCCTTCACACCGCCTTCCCCGAAGCTCCGTTTCAAACTGTACGAGGTGGCCATCCCCGTCTTTGATCAACTGACCAATACACCTAATCAGCTAGCCTCCATGTAACGTTATATCGCTAGCTCAAGTACCGACACCCGCGGCAAGTTAGCAACTTTAGCCCCCCTTCGCTCCACAGTTCCGGGGTGGCTCAACTGTTACCCACCTCGGCCACCGGTCTGCTGAAGCTCACCAGCAGCCGGATGGAAAGTTAAGCTTCTGCCGTGATGAAGTCAACAGTGAAATAGTTACAGCGGGGACATGATAGCAGCAGCCAGACGAGAGAGCGGTCATGCTGCTAGCACACACACACACACAGCTAGGCTAACCGCTACAAGAGCTACATAAGCTAGCTACCTGACTGAGCCACTTCTCCCGTGAAAACCGCTCCAACAACCGCAAATCCGGGCCTCCTTGTAGTAACCGTGGGCAGGCTCCGCACACCGAACCGTCGCGGCGGCTGGTTTTCGTCAGCACTGAGCGTCAGGTGGGCTCCTCACGCCGGATTGAGACATTAAAGAGTTGTGTGGAAGCGCCGAGCAGCGGACAACCTGAGGCCAAATCAGGATAGTGCGCATGCGCCCACCCCGGGCGGCCTGCGCTGCTGGAGAGAGAAACAGCGACCTATGCAGGACAGACGGAGGTACTGCAGATGAACTCCTTCAACTGTACTAGTGCAGCTAAAAAAAACAAAAAACAAAAGATTACTACCAAAATATAAGTTTATTGTTATCATCGTAAAAAATAGGTATTTACCATCAGTTATTTTAGAAAGAGAACTTTTAACATATCCTAGACTCATAAAGTGAAATTAAGTTAAGCCTTTTCTTATTAAATTATGACTTATATCATGAAAATCAGAATGAGATGCTCCAGTATTTATTTACAACACTGAAAATATGTTTTTTTCTGATTTGTTTTTACACATAAAAAGTTTTAATCTCACAGGGTGAATATATTTTTAGTGTACAACTGAAAATGTTTTTCTAATATTTGACTATGTACTATATTTAAATTTAACTTTCTGAATATGTGCAGAATTTCGTGACTATGAAACAGCAATAAAGCCTTTAAATTGGGAAATAAAACTAACTAAATATACAATTCAGCAAATATTAAAATAAAGCTTAAAATCAATAAGAATTATACTGAACTAAAAAGAAACAAAATGAAAAAATGACACATTTTATTCTGGTCAACATTAAATAAAACACAACATTGGGTATTTGCATTAATATGTATTGTATTATGAATATTATAAATAAAATATTATTATTATCTATCCTATAAAATGCATCTTGATGTTGTACACATCTATATTATGAAAAAAATTGTTTAAAATAATCTAAGAATCTGTTAGTGATTAATTTTTTTTGTTTTGGTTTTTGTTTTTGTTTTTAATCAAATCACGTTTTTTTTGTGTGGGCTGAGGACAAAAAGTTAATTAAAATCCTTATTTTGTTAGTTTGGTTGTTACATCAGCTGTGCACATCCAGCAGCTAATTTATATTCTTGTGTCATATTTTCTATTGAAAAACATATATATATTGCTCAGTTTTGTATTTAAAGGCCAAAAAATATGAAATGATACATCCTTAAAAAGACGCAAAACAGATATAATATAAAAACACACACAAAAATAATTGTTTGGTTATAATTTCTAACAGTTTTCCTTCAAGTCTTTGCACTTTCAAAGAAATAAAATTCTTCAGTTGGGCACAATACAGTATTTCCTGTTTATATTGATATATTACATAGATTATATTGCGGCTTTAGAATTAAGTGTGATGTGCATAAAGGTTGAAATTTGTAATAATTGTCTGTTGTAACAAAAATAAATATGTAAAGGATTTGTTTTAGAAAAGTAATGCTTATTTTTTCACATTTTTTTTATTGACAGTTTTATCTTTTCTCTTTTTGTAGGCTTCTTTAATTTTTATTTTATTTTAATTCATTTATTTTGAGGTTGTCCCGGACGTGTGTTTCACTCTCTGACCTCTGTGAAAGTGAGAACTCTGCTTTTTCCGGTTGCACTTGAACCTCGCATCCTGACAGCTCGCCAGCTGTTTCCTATTTGACTAATTGACGGAGATGTTTCGTCTTTTGTTTGCGGGACGTCATGTGGCGCTGAGAGCGAAGCGTTTCTGCTTCTGTTTGTTTAGAGAGAAACTGACTTTCATTTTCCAGAAGTCGGGGGACGTTTATTTGCGCGTTTCCTTTCCTCTGCGGTGTTTTATTTCTGACTGGCTGAGCGAGAACGAGACAGAAGATGGACGGTAAAGACTTTTTTTTGTGTGATTTCATGGTTACAGTTGTCGGACTTTGCATGAAATTAATAACATTTTAAATCTTTGTCTGTTTTTTCTTGAAGATGCAAACAAACAGCCACATTCGCTCGGGAGTGGACAACAGAGAAACCCTAATCCGAGACCTTTTTTCTATGTCCAGCCTCCATCTCAGCCGTATTACCTCTACCAGCCCTGGCAGCTCAACAACCCTTACAGTCACTATGGCTTGCCTGGAGGTATCAACCTATTTAAACCTTTAGTTGTTGTTGTTGCTATCAACTAGTAGCTAGATATTGCCTGAAACCTCACTGCATGTTTGTATACCTCCTAGGTTTTAACTTTGCTCGTCCCTGCATGCACCCCTTTCAGTACATGCAGTATCCCGGCTTTGTTTTCCCGCATGCCCCCGTATATCCGATGGATTACAGGCGGATGTTCGAGCCGCGCTTCGCCGGTCCCACTTGGGGTGAAATACCTCGACAACAGCAGCCTCACGGGCGTCGAGAAATGGCCTGCTCAGAGGCCCAAACCGACCCCAGTGACGCCATAACCAAGCTCATCGAGTGCCTGGATAAGATCCGAGCCAGCGAGATGCAGGGCGCCAGCAGGGAACTGGACTCTGGTATTGCGTCCCAGTCCTCGGGTATGTTTTCTCCAGGCGAGGAGAAGAAAAACCAAGAGCAGGATCACGTCCTGTCTTCGGCACCTCATGACACCCATGCAGAGGTGTTGGTTGACTCCCCTGCTGAGAATTATAATGGTGAAGCCAGCCAGATGATCTTAGGCACCTTAAGCCCTCATGGATCCTGGTCAGGAGGACTTGAAGAGGAGCTTCCCCTCGATAGCTCCTCCGTCCAGGAGGACTGTCCCGAGCTGGAGCATTCAGAAGCAGACGAACACCTTGTGCTTCTTGAGGAAGAAGAGGTCCAGTCGGATACCTCGAGTGTTCCTAAATGTGATGCCGAAGAGCTCCAGAAGTCCCCAGCGTTGCTTAAAGAGACCAACAGCAGCGACAAAGTCTCAACTGCAGAACATCTGGAAGAGTCTGTTGATGAAGCCAAACCTGATCGGAGCTACCAGATCCTCAAGCTGCCGTTTGATTGTGTTTTAACCCCCGGAGCCGCCCGCCTCGCCTCCACGGCCGCCCCCTACTACTTCAACTACCCATCCATGCAGGCGACACATGAACGGATGAGCGTCCTCAGCCCGTCGTTGGATGAATTATCCTCCAGAGACGAGATGTTCTCCACGGACCTGGATGATGTGGATCTATTTCCCAAACAAGCGTATACGCCCAGAAGGCTTGTGGAGGTCATCGGTGAATCCCCTCAAGCCTCCGAAGACGTAGACGAAGCCTGGATGCAGGGTTTGAAGAGGGTCGCGTGCGCCTGTTGTGGAAAAAGCCTTGCAAAAGGGACGAGCAGGAGAAAAGTCCACGGCCCCAAGATGTACCTGGATGAAGGTGGAGACTCGGAGGATGACTATGGACGAGGGTGCGAGCAGGAAGTGGTCGTAAGAAAGCATCGTTCACCCAGGAAGAATCGCCCTCTCCAGCCAAGACATGCCGCGAAACCTTGGTTCAAAAGAGGTTTATGGAAGGAGACATCTGACCAGGTGGAAGATCAGGATGTTCATAAGCAAGAGGTGACTCAAGGTGAAACCGGAGAGTCTGAGCTGCAGTGTGGGACCTGTGAAGGTAAGTCTCCACCGAGAACTTCACTTTCCCTAATATTTTAGTTCATTTATTTCATATTGGAGAGGAATTCTTTCGTAGACCGACTCTGCAGAGAAGATCCGACCACATCAGATCAAGGCCGGTGGGCCGACGGTGACGTTGTTCCCCGGAGGAGACCAGCAGCATCTCTGCAGCGGCAAGGTGAAACCTAGAAGCTCAGATGATTGATAACATGTAGCATAAATATGTAATATTTGGTCCCAAATTTTGTTCCTTTTAACTCAATTTGTTGGCAATTTTACTGAGCAATAAAGAGCTGCATCCACACTTTGCTTCATATTTGGGACTGGGTCACTCCATCTCAAATCAACAAGTTTTAAAGCATAAATAAGGATATTTATAAAGTTATTTGTGAATTGTTTTTTCTCAAAAGCTGCCAGTTTGTACATTGCAGTTTGAGTCTGTTTGGACAACAGTATCTCAGGAATTATTGGAATTATAAGAACTTGAAATTGTCACTTTTGTGAGTTGAAATATGGGGAAAAATTGAAGCTGTAATGACAAGTCCCATCTTGGAGCTCGTATTAACCAAAAATGGACAACGCACAAATCAACTAGTGATATTTTATGAACCACATGTAGCTGCAAATACAAAAAAACACACCTAGGATGCTGTATAAGATGAAATACTTGGTCACAAAAAGTTATTTTTGTTGAACTTTGATAACTGATTGAGGAAAAAAACAAACATTTATGTTTCATATTTCACTTTCAGGCTTTTTGTCTGCATTTTTTCCCTTTTTTTGTTATTCAGAACCACTTTCATCATAGTTTAAAGAAACTTTCTGGTCTGACTGATCTTCACATCTTAATGTTTCTTTTAACTTAACTGAGAGGTTCTTACCATCTTGTGTGTTGTATACCAACGCTACCTTAAACACAGCTGAGGGTCTCATCTTACCCTTAATCCATTCGTTTAAATCAAATTGTTCTTGTGTATTCGTATCGACTGCATAGAAATGAGCGCTCAGTGGAAACCGATGCACCAGCGGCCGCGAGATGAAGACCAGGACCAGGACGACGAGGATGAGGACGAGGAGCCGCCACCTTTACCCTGGGAGAGAGGTGGCTTGTAGATTTTTTTTCCTCTTGCAGTGCTTTAATTTTCACTAAATGCGATGATTTAAAACTGTTCTGCTGTTTTGTTTTTAAGCTCTACAATAAAAGAAACCGAGATGTTAACGCCCCCCGACTGACTTTTGAAAAAAAGAGTGTTGAACTGTAGGTGTCCTGCTTATAATGTCCGACTAATCGTTAAAAACTTGATGAAAATCTGTTCTAATGCCGCTTTGCTTCTTCCTCAGGTCCCCCCCAGAAAAGGTGTAGATGTTCACAGATAATGTGTTGGAAGATGATGGGAGCACCAGGTGAAATGCACTGCACAGGAGGCATCTTTTTGTTGGATAAAAGTAAAAAAAAAAAAAAAAAGAGAGAAAAAGTCTGAACTTTGCACAGTGACACTGCCTCGCACTATTCATGACTCATGGATTTCACAAAAAGGCAAACGGGCTGAAAGGTTGTATTACTGTCTGGGGCCAGTCCAATAAAGTATTGTCATCATTTAAGCTTTGTGATGCCTCATTTTGCATTTTTCTCTCGTTACACCAGTTCATGTTCCACATTTAAGGCTTTTAATCGCCTGAGAGTTTGTCCGTAAACACTTTATTGTCTCTGCTGCAACATCTGTGCTGATTCCAGATGTTGGTAGATGACAATCATCACCTGAGGAGCATCTTTGGAGGTCAACGGACGCTCAACAAATCTGTAGGCTCTAGAGTTCTTTAGGAAAATGTTTTATCGATGGACCAATGGGGCAAAACATAATTCCTGTAAAGCTACGAATTAAAAAAATAAATAAATAGCTGTACTTTAGGAAATGTGATTGTTTGTGGCGTACAGTTTAACTCACATATCTACAGTTTTAAGGGGTTTAGATGCACAGTGGAATGAATTAAGTCAACTTTGGTGCATCTTTCTGTCTGTGATTTACTGTTTTTAAAGTCCAGATTCATCATTCTGCTCAAAAATGCTTTTTATAGTTTAACCAAAGCTGAACCGATTCCTCATCGGTCTAATGTTTGTTCAACAATTTGGTTCCCACCAAAGGGATCAATAAAGTTCTATTCTATTCTATTCTATTTTAGTTTTGGTATAAAACTTCATCAACTGAAGGAAACACAGTTCAGGAAACGTGTTCCACTTGGATTAGTCTGTCTGGCAATATTTAGCTTTTTGTGGCACAACTTGTCATTGCTGCTCAATCAGCTGTGAAAGTTCAACAAAAACAACTATTTTCATTTTATGACCAACTAGTTCAAGTATTAAAGTATTCTTAACATTCTGTTTTGTGTTGCTGTGACATGCAGCCACATAGGGAGTTTGTTTTTTTTATACGATTGACAAAAAATGCAAACTTTTTCCTCCTATGATTAATTTACTTGTAACAAAAAATAATTTAAATTGGCAAATGTTTTGTAAACATTTACTCTTGTTGTAGAAATGTTTTCCTTTGTCATTAAATTACAGATAATTACTATTAAATTCACAGAATAAAGGAGGATTAATTTACATGTTACCGGTAAAAACAAAAAACAAAAAAACAGGCCAAAACTGCACATAATGTCCACACCAAAAACAAATAGTAATTTGTTGTTTTACAATGTGTGACACTTTTCTATCGTGTCTTTTTTAGTTAAAAATATAGATTAATTTACAGATATTGGCCCGTAAAGGTCAATTTAACAGTCAGTGTTGGTGTGTCTCGTCCAAACCGTCAATAAAATCAAATGAAGTCCATTTTTATCCTCAGAACAACCTCTAACATCAACAAACTGGTTTATTCTTCAAGGATAATGTCGTCTTTAAAAACAGCTCCGGGCGACCAAACAAGCTCCCATCTAACCTCGTAATTGGCTCTTCAGGCGTCAAACCTGAATCTTAAAACCGGACCTGCAGATGTGTGCTTTGCATTTTAGTGCTGCTCAGCTGCAAAGCAGACGTGGAGCTCGACAAAGATGCTAAAAAGGACAAAATGTGCCACTTTGACCACTAATCAGAGCTTCTCTCATGGAGCCAATGAGCTGCAGGTTTGTTTAATTAGAGCCAATCAGCTGCTCGGCTCCTCTGTGAGTCATTTCAGTCTCAGTAAGTCGGCTTTAGTGGTCAGTCTGAGTTTTTCCACGTCTCTGATCTATTGTCTACCTTTCCTCAGGTGAGCTGATGCACCTCAGAGGGAGGGGATCTGCTGCAAACCAAACTTCTGTCATTGGATTCTAATTGGACAGTCGTCACCTCAGCCAATCAGTGCTTCAGCCGCAGCCTGTATCAGGAGTCCACACACTTGATTTCCAGTCTGAAACATACAGGGAAGCCGTGTTGGTTTGTTAGTGGTACCTTCTGTTTGCATGTAGGCCCGCTTTCTTCCTACTATCAGGAAAAAACAACCCACCAAAACCGTCTGGTATTGATGAGCGTCTCTCTGTTCAGACATGGAAGCAGCGACGTCTACCCTGCAGCCCTCTTTCAGTTTGGGCCCTCGATGCCCGAGCTCACCGCATGGAGCTCAGCAGACCCAGGGGCCTCCTCACCAGCCGGGCCCAGCGCCTTCAGGAGCCCCCCGACCAGAGGAGCAGCACCACCAGAAGCCCTTCTTCTACATCCAGCCCTCGCAGCCTTACATGCCCATGCAGGGTGTGCAGTGGCCTGTTCCTGTGCCCATGCCGATGTCCTACAACCCCTACTACAGCTACCCTGGTTTAGGTAAGCATCAAAAAACCAACAATTCTCAAACCATCACATTTTTACAACTATTTCTGCACAAACGTCTCTGATTTGTCTGAAATTTTCACAGCTAAAAATATGAATAAATATAAAGTTATTTGAGAAATTTTAGCTCCATACGTCAAATACTTTTCGAGATTAATTGTTTTTAAAAATCACCAATTGACCCACTTTCAGCGCATTGTTTCATACACTAATATTTGAGGCTGTTTGAACAACAATATCTCAGGAACTAATAAAGATAGATGCCTGAGAGAGTTGTATTCTCAGACAAGCTGTACCACAAGAACACAAACTGTTGGTTGATACTTGGGAAAATGGAAATATTCAAGTAAAGTACCTCGTGTTTGTACTTGTAGTTACTCTCCATCACTGATTGTTAAACTACTATCCATGTATTTTGCTTCAGTACAGTTTCTATACTGGCCTAACAATATGACTTCTTATCCATTACCTGTGTTTTTTTGTGATGCAGTCCAGCTAAACCTGGCTGACGTTGCATTTATACTCACTACGGACCGACGCAAATTAGTTTTCAGTCAGAAATAAAATGAAAGAAAAACCTTGAACCTGCTGAACTTCAAGTAGTTTGGGGAGAAAATGGAAAAGTCTGATGATTCTTGCTATTTTATCAGTTTATGGCTCCGATAAATGGTGTAATTTTGGCAGTTTCTCAAAGACGGCATGTTTTTCCAACCTGTCAACAGAAATTTGGGTTCAGAGGGTTAACATATTACAAGGAGGGAAGTTTTAGCAGCAAACATGTAGGAACCCAATGACTAAGAGTACAGTTCTGCTTAACGTTAATGAAAAGAATAGTCTTTTTGTGTGTGTGAGATGTCCTCTACCAAACCTTGACAGTGTTCTAATATTCAGACCTTTCTCCTGTCTCTTGATAAAGGTTATGGGATGCCAATGATGCCCCAGTACCAGGCCAACCCGTACATGGAACCTCCTGGCTTCATTATCCCCCACACCCACCTCCACCTGATGGACTACAGGCGCCTGCTCAACCCCCAGTATTACCAGACCATGGCCTACCACTCCCGCAGGTTCCGCTACCAACACGACTCCCCTCCCAGAGAAATGACCAGCTGCGAGGTCCAAACTGAGCCGCTCCCAGCAGCTCAGAGGACCAGCACTCCGAGTTCCAGCGACGTTCCCAGTGTCCTCCCAGCTCGTAGCAGCGACACCCCCACTGGTATTCCACCAACACTTGTGCAGAAAGCGGATCAATCACCTGAGCGCAAGGACAATGTACCTTCCTCTGCCACCAGGACGCCATCAAACAGCGGCTTTGTGATTCAGACAGAGGAGGTGAGGATTGAATGCTGCACCACACCGGTGGGACTGCAACTGCTGCATGAGACCTCAGAAATGTCCCACAG